AACAACAAAACATATCTGTGAAACCTACTGTGTGTATTGCCCATTAGTTAACTATACTGTGTTTATTAGTCATAGGATGGCAATGGAACTGCAATATGGATGGGCCATATTGTGTCTAGTGGCCATAAGTTGGCCCTACTGTGTCTAGTAGCCCATAAGATGGCCCTGTGTCTATTGGTCATAAGATGGCCCTACTGTTTCTAGTAGCCATAAGATGGCCCTACTGTGTCTAGTGGTCATAAGATGGTCCTACTGTGTCTAGTGGCCATAAGATGGCCCTACTTTGTCTAGTGGTCATAAGATGGCCCTACTGTGTCTATTGCCCATAAGATGGCCCTACTGTTTCTAGTGGTCATAAGATGGCCCTACTGTGTCTATTGGCCATAAGATGGCCCTACTGTTTCTAGTGGTCATAAGATGGCCCTACTGTGTCTAGTGGCCATAAAATGGCCCTACTGTTTCTAGTGGTCATACGATGGCTCTACTGTGTCTATTAGCCATAAGATGGCCCTACTGTGTCTAGTGGCCATAAGATGGCCCTACTGTTTCTAGTGGTCATAAGATGGCCCTACTGTGTCTAGTGGCCATAAAATGGCCCTACTGTGTCTAGTGGTCATAAGATGGCCCTACTGTGTCTAGTGGTCATAAGATGGCCCTACTGTGTCTAGTGGTCATAAGATGGCCCTACTGTGTCTATTGCCCATAAGATGGCCCTACTGTTTCTAGTGGTCATAAGATGGCCCTACTGTGTCTATTGGCCATAAGATGGCCCTACTGTTTCTAGTGGCCATAAGATGGCCCTACTGTGTCTAGTGGCCATAAGATGGCCCTACTGTGTCTATTGGTCATAAGATGGCCCTACTGTGTCATTGGTAATAAGATGGCCCTACTGTGTCTATTGGTCACAAGATGGCCCTACTGTGTCTAGTGGTCATAAGATGGCCCTACTGTGTCTATTGGCCATAAGATGGCCCTACTATTTCTAGTGGCCATAAGATGGCCCTACTGTGTCTATTGGTCATAAGATGGCCCTACTGTTTCTAGTGGTCATAAGATGGCCCTACTGTGTCTAGTGGTCATAAGATGGCCCTACTGTGTCTAGTGGTCATAAGATGGCCCTACTATTTCTAGTGGCCATAAGATGGCCCTACTGTGTCTATTGGTCATAAGATGGCCCTACTGTGTCTATTGGTCATAAGATGGCCCTACTGTGTATATTACAGCCTCACTGATGCATCAGTATAAACTAAGTGCACATCTAAAGCTGTTATGTAACATTTATACATTTATTTGTTAATGTTTAAAGGTCCATATTAAGTGTGGTGGAATTTCCCTCCAGGAGCAGCTTGCGGTGCGACAATTTACAATGACAACTTGGGTAGTATTTGTATTTCTTCAGACTTCTAAGGGACTAGCCATTCCCCCCATGTCCATGGGCCACACCAAACAAATACCCGACATAACTTTTTTTTCATAAATTAGATTTAATAGCATTAAGTAAAGGAAGACTTCCAGAGTTACACACACCAACATTATCATCAAGATTTAAAGCCCATATGCCAACTCCACCCAAATTTTGAGATTTCATCCATGAAATCTGTGAAAGAGAAAAGAAACATGAGAAGTCAACATTTTTTAACTTGTAAAATGTTGACTAAGGGAATATGGATTATTTTTAAATCTACAATGAACCTTTTGTATTGCAGTTTGTTCATCTTCATAAGCAACCCAAGTTTTATTAGCATACAAATACGCTGCTCCATTTGTGTCATCAGTTACAGTTTTAGCTCCATTATGTTATACATTTTTTAAAACAGTTTAAATAAGGTAAAAAAGCAATACAAAGCCTAGTTGAGAAAATACTTGAAAATATGATACTAACATCTGGATATAAATAAATACCACGAAAGCCTCTGAAGGGCCCAGGTTCTCCTTTGCCCACTGCTGGAGAATGTAAACTATGTTGCTTCATGTCTGCTAATGTCCATGAGCGTCCATATATTGGAATGCCCATCAACAATTTATTTAATGGCATACCTTGATTTATATAGTAAATTTAGCATCTCACTCTGAAAAAAAAAATTTTTTAATGGCTACACTACACCATAAGCAGCAGGAAAGAGAACATGTAAGGGAAGTAACTAATGACAATATATATATATATATATATTATATAGATATATATATATATATATATATATATATATATATAAATATATATATATATCATAAAAATAAGATAATCAGAAAATAATGCAGTCAGACAATTTCCCCTATGCCAATATTGTGACATTTTTTTTTACTTTCCTAATCAAAAGAATATTATTCCTACCAACAACAACATCTACATGTTATGTACACAAAAATGTGTGTTTATTACCGTAGACAAAAACTTGTTTTCCCTGGTGGTGTAAAGAGTTGGACTGTTATATCCTGTTGTATTATCGACTCCCTCGATGAATAAATGGAAGTCATATGGTCATGGCAGTCATAAAATCCCATATTCCTATAATATGAATGTGAACATAATAGCTGAGTATTAGTACAATAATGATCAATGTTATTATTTATTTCGACACATAAAGGAAAATTATATTTTGTCATTTTAGAAAAAGTAATTTAAATTTTTTAAATGAACTTATTGTTATGAACAGTAATAAACAAAAAATTCCAAATGTTTTTACTTTGCAAGAGTGTTGGTATCAAAACCTTGAACCAAGCTGGACTATTAGGCAGTGGCAGCAGACATAATTAAGTCATACTTGTTCAAAGCATCTTTAAATATCTAAAAATGAATATATAAACTATTATATAAAAATAATTCAATACGTTTTTTTAAAAAAACAAACACTTTTTACACTAAAAGATTTAATTATTATGTCATTGTGCTAAACTTTTTGAGCAATTCTACCACATCTTATACCAATAAGGTAAGCGTTCAAAGTAAACTTTTTTTTATACTTTTTATTTTGAAAATTATATATTGCATTTACCAAAGAGAATAAGTGTTTTAAAAAAAATGACAGCATACTTCTATAAACTGAATGAAATTGTCCTTGTCAACTGCTTTTGGAAATTCCCAATCCAAGTCTACTCCATTCAAAGCCAAAGGCTTGTAGAAAATGATACTGATGTTTGGGAAAAAGCTATTTAAAAAAAAAATTTAATTGTTATTATTATAGTTTGTATTGAACTAAACTGGACTATAATACTATTTAAAATACAAACTTAAAAAATTAGTTTCCATAGTTTTCAATCAGAAAGTAAGACTAAATGCATATTGCTTAACTCTATGAAGTGGTGTGATGGATTTTCCACAAACACATTTGAAATATCCACAAGGGTTTATTATTCTAAACATGTACCAGACTAGGCTCTTATAAATTATTGGTGTGCTGGGAATGGTATGATAATGGTTCAAGTTTAAACTGGAGAAGGAAAACATGGTCTGGACTATTTGACTCAGGAAATAAATATCAATAGGAGTGTGATGATGCTAGTTATAAATAGGTTAGAGGTCAAGCAGGTGAGAGATAGAATAGCGTCAGGTCAGGGTAGAAATAGGTATTTAAGGTGGGGACATTGGTCAGTCATGGGAGAACCAATAGAAATTTATAGCAGGAGATGACCAGTCACGTTGTGATGGTCAGCTGATCATGGACTTGTGGGCAGTTGCAGTAGAGTGTTAGCGGTTGTGAACGTGTTAAGGAAGCTTGTTGCAAGTTAGTTATTGTTAGGAGTATTGTTAGTCTGTAGTCTATACTATAGTATAGATTAGTTAGATAGGAGTTAGGAGATCAATTTGCAATGTAAATAAAGAACATTATAGTTTTGCCTTGAATTGGACCTTTTGTGTTTGCTTCCATCAACTAAACTGTTTCAGGCTACATTTTAAAGAAGACAATAACATGGTATGATCCATGGAAGTGTATTCAGTATACAATATACACTACCCTATAATAGATACATATATATCTCCCAAAAACCCTCCCATCACAAGGAGAAAAAGATTTATTAAATCAGACAATTAGTTTTTGTAACCTTTTCCTGATGTTTTAAAACAATACTAAAAAATCAACACTGATTTCATTACCTTTTCATGACTTCTGGCCCAGGCATGTACAACTGTATCAAATCCTTGTTGTAATGACAATAATACTTTCAAATCTGGGATTTCTCTTTTTCAGTTGCACAAGAGTTCTAAGAATTAAAACAATAAACACATCTTTTTAAAAATATCAGTAACAGAACTTCTAGGGCCACTCAGACTCAGAGTTTCTTCCCAGGCATCTCTTCCCCCCCCCCACCCCAAACAAGATTGAATGTATATAGTTAAACATATACTTTTACTAGTGTCCGCCCCTCCCCCCCCCCCCCCCCCCCCCCGAAAATGTTGACCCCCCCCGAAAATATCAAGCGCCCCCCCCCCCCCCCCCAGGAGTAAAAAGTCTGGGAAGAAACACTGATGCCACTGAACATAGCATTGGGTGGGTTTTTTTATTGGGGGGGTGGGGGGGGGGGGGAAATAGCCATTTAGTTGTGACAAAATCTGATCTGAATTAAATTTAAAGGCTCTATTTTCGTACTTCTTGATACTGATTGTAAGTTTTCAAAAATTTTCTTACTATCACCAGGCAGACCACTAAATTAAGAGGAACCCCACAAGGAAAGTGTAAAAGAGGTCAACAAAGAAACACCTGGAAACAGGACCTTGAGGCTGACACCATAAAGAGGGCAACACATGGAGTCAAGTTGAAAAGATGGCACAGGATAGAGGACTCTGGAGTTCTGTAGTTGGTGGCCCACACCCCAGCAGAAATAGATGGCCAGCGATGATGATGAAAATATTGCATAAACATTTTAAAAACTTTATAAAAAATCTTCCATGTCTTTTAGAAATCATTGATATAGCCAAAAAGGTGGGTCAAAATATGTTCATACTACAGTGTTTCTTCCAGACTTTTTTTCCGGGGGGGGGGGGGGGGCACTTGATATTTTGGGGAGGCGGTCAACATTTCCAGAGGGGGGGTGGGTAGGGGGGGCAGAATACTAGTAAAAAGTATATTTTTACTATATAAATTCCATCTCGTTCGGGGGTGGTGGCAGTAGAAGAGATGCCTGGAGAGAGAAACTCTGTGTTCATACATGAGTGAAAGCACATTGTATCTGGACCATTTAGGTGAAAAGGAGGGGGGGTGCATGGACCTAAGGTGATTCGTGTAAGAAGTTATGTGCTCTATCATCATACATCTCCTTGACTCAATAATGTATCCAACTGTTTCAAATGCTCTACTTATAGTTTTGAACATCCGAAGACTTAGTTGGCTTGATTCCTTGCTGTGTTATAGTTCCAAAGGCATAAATCAAATGTGTACAGAGATCAGCTGGTACTTGTGATGGCAGGAAAGTAGGAGGTTGCAGTAAAATAACAGACAAAAGCTTTGCTTGTTGTAGCATTGTGTCTAGCAGCTGAAAGAATGTTATGTTAGTTTTTTTTTAAACATCCACTGTCAGGAAACCAGTTTCATAAAAAACATACTGTCCCCAGTTATAGGTCCCCAGAATTAATATTGTGGACTAAGTGATTAATTATCTTGAATTTACATTACACATCAAGAGCAGTGTGATGCAATTTTAGTGAATTTAGACCCCCCCCCCCCCCACATGACTCCCTCCTAAATTAAGTTAGTTACAACTATTGTGATTAACATTCTTGTAAACACAGAAATACATGCACACACACATAGCATACCATGTAAACTGTTGAGAAGTGTCATGGATAGCATGGTGGTCAATGCTATAGCCCATGCCATTTTTTTTTCTGCAAGGGTAAAGCTTATTCTTGATGTAGAATTGTAGCTGGCAGCTCAGTGAGTGTTACATTCGTTTTTATTTTCAACCTTCAAATTTCATGAAACTGGGTTAATAACAATGATATATTGTCTCATATTGTTAAAATAAATGACTCAAGTATTTATAAGTTCAACGTATAATAGAACTAGATCCAGATCACTAAACTTAACTAAACTATCATTTTCTTATGTCCAACCCTAGGGACTATACGGGGATAGGCCAGCTCATTTCTGGCCCTAGAAAAACCCTGAAAAACCATATGACATAGATGAGCTTTATATAGAATCTATAGCCGTGCAACCTAACACACCTATTTTTGGACAAATCTACTGAAAAACACAGGTAAAAACGTATGTACTGAAACAGCGTGCGTTCTATTTTTATTCTGAACCTTGCACAGTGAGAATTAAATCCTAACTGGATGATTAAATTGATAATCAATCCGTCAAAGAAAAAATGTATCCAAATATTCACACTAGATCTATATATTGTACGTTATTTTTTACGTAGTATTGTACTTTGATAGAAAAACAAACCTTCAAAATAACTAATAAATGAAAGAACATAGGCGAATAAGCGTCGAAATTCTTCTGGTGTCAGGAGCGATTAATGTAAAAAAAATCATATCAACACGAAACACCAGGAAGCTTAACACTAAATACTCAAGTAATGAAAGTCTGGTATTTCCCGCGTATAGACACACTTATGTTAAGCTTTCCTGTTTATCTAGATCTGGTAAAGATTTATATAAGAAGTCATTCATTTATGACACCCATAAAAATTCCGGATTTTTACCCCCTCCCACGCGTCCAATTTCGATGTCCCCCCCCCCCCCATGTGTACAACAAGGTACACTTATTAAACCTTTCTACTACTGTTTTTCAATACATTCGGTAATAATGTTTCATGTTTATTATTAGGCCTTAATATCACAAGTGAATCTAGAGTGAATTTGTGTGTGTGTGTGGGGGGGGGGGGGAATGTTAAAGGTGTTATTCTCTGTACTCGTAGGATGTAATAATTACTAATAGCATTTATAAGATTAATATGTCGCAAGGCCTCCTTGGGTTCGTACCTCTATTTCTGTTTAATTCATCGGTACTTTTTTAAATTAAATGACGTCACACTCCAGAAGGTCGACGTTAATAATGGTGGCCGGAAAGAACCGCAACGGAAAAAAGCGCAACGGAAAAAAGAGCAAAACAAAAAGCGCAACGGAAAAAAGCGCACACGGAAAAAAGCGCAAAGAGAAAAAAGCGCACACAGAAAAAAGCGCAAAGAGAAAAAGCGCAAACAGAAAAAAGCGCAAAGAGAAAAAAGCGCACACAGAAAAAAGCGCAAACAGAAAAAAACGGAAACGGAAAAAAGCGCAAAGAGAAAAAAGCGCAAACGGAAAAAAAGCGCAAACAGAAAAAAGCGCACACGGAAAAAAGCGCAAACGGAAAAAAGCGCAAACGGAAAAAAGCGCAAACGGAAAAAAGCGCAAACAGAAAAAAGCGCAAACGGAAAAAAGCGCAAACAGAAAAAAAACGCACACAGAAAAAAAGCGCAAACAGAAAAAAGCGCAAACGGAAAAAAGCGCAAACAGAAAAAAGCGCACACAGAAAAAAGCGCAAACGGAAAAAAAGCGCAAACAGAAACAGAAAAATGCGCAACCAGAAAAAACACAACGAAAAATGTGCAAAAGAGAAATTTAGCACAAAGACCATATGGACTAGATGACACATTTATACATGACTGTTAGGGCTGCTGTGAGAGTGTCGTGTTTGATCACGTGATCTACTACCATTTAAAGCGTACCACTCACCCACACATCCATCCACCCACCCACACACCCATCCATCCACCCACCCACACATCCATCCACCCACCGACACATCCACCCACCCACCCACCCACACATCCACCCACCCATCCACACATCCACCACCCATCCACACATCCACCCACCCACCCACACACCCCATCCATCCACCCACCCACACATCCATCCACCCACCCACCCACACACCCATCCATCCACCCACCCACACATCCATCCACCCACCCACCCACACATCCACCCACCCATCCACACATCCACCCACCCATCCACACATCCACCCACCCACCCACACACCCATCCATCCACCCACCCACACATCCATCCACCCACCCACCCACACACCCATCCATCCCACCCACCCACACATCCATCCACCCACCGACACATCCACCCACCCACACATCCACCCACCCCATCCACACATCCACCCACCCATCCACACATCCACCCACCCACCCACCCACACACCCATCCATCCACCCACCCACACATCCATCCACCCACCGACACATCCACCACCCACCCACCCACCACACATCTACCCACCCACCCACACATCCATCCACCCACCCACACATCCATCCACCCACCCACACTGCATATAAGTATTCGCATAGATTTAGAGTAGCGTCCCTTTTGTTTACATGTTTTCATTACCCTTCAAAACAAAAGTCTATTTTAGTTATATTGAGATTAAAGAATGTAAATAAATAGTATACACAATTCTGTAGAATAGGAACGATTGGGAGGGAAGTGACATTTAGCGCAAGAAATTTAGAGGTTAGGTAGGGTATAATAAATGGTGGGGTTAGGAAAGTTAAGGGGTCCATTCTCTAATAGGCAATCTTTGTCTCTTTCGTACTTTCGTGTTGGTTTATTGGTCGAACCTGTCCTCGCCTCACATCACAACAGTTGGGTGACGCTTACCGTGTAATGTTAAAATAAATAGCATGTAATTGAGTTAGTTCGAAGTGAGTTTTCATACAAGCCCAACGCACTAATTAAGGTTGTCGCAAAATGTAACATATATGTAACATATGTCAATGATGTCAATGAATTTTCATTAAAAAAAAGATGTCTAGTACAGTTTACGAAACTTACGAACTTCGCCGATACTTTTTTGGTGGGTAGTTTGGTAAGTATGTAGGCGGGTAGGTGGGTAAGTGGGTAAGTGGGTAGGTGGGTAGTTAGGTAGGTAGGTAGGTAGGTGGGTAGGTGGGTAGTAGGTAGGTAGGTAGGTGCGTCATGATGTGAAAAAATATTAAATACAAAATTGTTATTTTGGTGCGAATGAATGTTGTTACGAGAGATATGACGAATGCATGTTTGATGACGCGGATGAAAGAGAGTGAAGTTTTGCCATAGGAACTGGTTGTTATAGTATGCAAGCTAGGTAGTTCGGACTAGGGAGAATGTGAAAGATACTTCGTGTAATGTCGATAGTTTTATGTTTATACGAGAATAGTAGTTGAATAATTATTGACCAAGAAAATAATAGGCATTGTGTAAAGTGATTATCGCCTGTATCGTGGTGATGGGAATGCAGATGGTAGTGGTACGCTTTAAATGGTAGTAGATCACGTGATCAAACACGACACTCTCACAGCAGCCCTAACAGTCATGTATAAATGTGTCATCTAGTCCATATGGTCTTTGTGCTAAATTTCTCTTTTGCACATTTTTCGTTGTGTTTTTTCTGGTTGCGCATTTTTCTGTTTCTGTTTGCGCTTTTTTCCGTTTGCGCTTTTTTCTGTGTGCGCTTTTTTCTGTTTGCGCTTTTTTTCCGTTTGCGCTTTTTTCTGTTTGCGCTTTTTTCTGTGTGCGTTTTTTTCTGTTTGCGCTTTTTTTCCGTTTGCGCTTTTTTCTGTTTGCGCTTTTTTCCGTTTGCGCTTTTTTCCGTTTGCGCTTTTTTCCGTGTGCGCTTTTTTCTGTTTGCGCTTTTTTCCGTTTGCGCTTTTTTCTCTTTGCGCTTTTTTCCGTTTGCGTTTTTTTTCTGTTTGCGCTTTTTTCTGTGTGCGCTTTTTTCTCTTTGCGCTTTTTTCTGTTTGCGCTTTTTTCTGTTTGCGCTTTTTTCCGTGTGCGCTTTTTTCTCTTTGCGCTTTTTTCCGTTTGCGCTTTTTTCTGTTTGCGCTTTTTTCTGTGTGCGCTTTTTTCTCTTTGCGCTTTTTTCCGTTTGCGCTTTTTGCGCTTTTTTCTGTGTGCGCTTTTTTCTCTTTGCGCTTTTTTCCATGTGCGCTTATTTTTATCCTCGTTCCTAAAGACTCATATGTTTTATGTTAACTACAACTAGTGTACAACCGTTTAGTAGAATTATACAAATTCATTATGTAAAAAAGTAAGGTGATATATCATTTGGTGAGGTAAAATTCAATGTTAAATAACTTTCTTTAATCCCCACGTATGTCTTTATGTACGAACTTTTTATACAATCATCCTGTCAGTATCAACATCTGCATCAACATTCCTGCAAAAATCCTTGCTTCCCCTCATTATATTCTATATTATTATTTATTAGCACCCGTAGGCCTATCAACATTCCTGCTAGTATGATTATCTGTATCAACATTATTGCTAGTATCATAACCTGTATCAACATTCTTGCCAGCATTAGAACCTACATCAAGATTGTTGTTAAAATTTACACCTGTTGCTGACTTAGTTTTTGGGGCGCGGGATTGTCCACACTACCGCCTAGACGCCTCAAGACTCGCTGTGTGAAAGCCTTGCGTGCATGTTAATTGATACTGGGGTAGAACACCCCTCGGCGCCCGCACGATTGTTTCACTACCGCCCGGTGCTACCCTTGGTTTGTTTACTTATTGAATGCCGCTAGTGTAGTGTGCTCTTTAAAACGAATATAGGTGCCATAGTCTTATAGGGGAGCCCGACCGCCGGACGCCGAAGTTGTTGCAGTTTTGACAGTTGTATTAGGTAGTACCCCTGACCCACTAAGCAGGACGCTCAATCAAGTAGCCGCTGGAAACTCTGTTCGCCTATTAGCTAAATACAATTAATTCAATTAGTAATAACACAGATAGTTACCTCACAAGTTAAAGACAGTTACAAATACTATGGACGTTTCGACCCAAGGTCTTCGTCAGCACACAACAGTGTGGTTACAGATTCCAGGGGTCGGCAACCTGCGGCTCGCGAGCCGCATGCGGCTCTTTTGATATCAAGATGCGGCTCTCCAGCTCCTTGCACAAATACTAATAATCTTAATAAAAA